CCTCAACCCTAAACCCACCGAAAGACCCACGCCAAGACCTCAATCCAAGATCCGCATGATGAAAACCACACTATGGAACCATGCACCACCCCATAGATACTAGCATACTCAACCGCATAGTAATACCCACCGCGTAGAAAGCCCATACACGGAAGTGGCCTCCTCTTTCGAAGTGTTTATCAGGAATACGGTTAGGAAAAAGGTTGCAACGGTAATGAGGCCACAATTTAAGAGTAGTACCTGCATCGCTACATCGCAGAAGGGGTGTCAGTGAAGTTCGGTGTTTTGGCGCTGTGAGGTCTCAGTCCAACGGTCTGCGATTGTCTTGCCTTCGCTCATAGCAAATCAACTACTTGTCCACATGGCCGTCTTTCCGCATCTAGCGCGCCGCGGCATGCATCTCTCAGTCGTTATGAAAGCTGCTTCGGTACTTACCACATTCTCCTTGACATCCAGGACGGCAAGGTGTTTTTTTCTGCCAGTCATTGGACGTGGGCAGTGTCACTTGCCGGCAGGTTTGGGAGAAGGTTGGGCAGTCGCAGCTGGCCGCCGTTATACTTGTGCAGTGCGGGCAGGTGGACGGCTCCGTCGTGGACGGAATGAAGAGGGGCAGTGTGATGTTCCGGCAGATTTGGGACCCGTTTTGGCTGTTGCAGCTGGCCACCGTCATACTTGTGCAGTGCAGGCAGATGGTCGGCTCGTCTGTTTTGGGCGGAACGAAGATGGGCAGTGTGATGTTCCAGCAGATTTGGGACCCGTTTTGGCAGTCGAAGCTGGCCACTATCATACTTGTGCAGTGCGGGCAGATGGTCGGCTCGTCTGTTTTGGGCGGAATGAAAAGGGGCAATGTGATGTCCCAGCAGATTTGGGACCCGTTTTTGCCTTTTCAGCAGGCGGCTATCATACTTGTGCAGTGCGGGCAGATGGTCGGCTCGTCTGTTTTGGGTGGAACGAAGATGGGCAGTGTGATGTTCCAGCAGATTTGGGACCCGTTTTGGCAGTCACAGGTGGCTACTATCATACTTGTGCAGTGCGGGCAGTTGGTCGGCTCGTCTGTTTTGACTGTTCTGGACGGAATGGGAATGAAGATGGGCAGTGTGATGTTCCGGCAGATTTGGGACCCGTTTTGGCTGTCGCAGCTGGCCACCGTCATACTTGTGCAGTGCGGGCAGATGGTCGGCTCGTCTGTTTTGGGGGGGACGACAATGATGTGCCAGCAGATTTGGGACCCGTTTTGGCAGTCGCAGCAGGCGGCTATCATACTTGTGCAGTGCGGGCAGATGGTCGGCTCGTCTGTTTTGGGCGGAATGAATATGGGCAATGTGATGTCCCAGCAGATTTGGGACCCGTTTTGGCTGTCGCAGCTGGCCACAGTCATACTTGTGCAGTGCGGGCAGATGGTCGGCTCGTCTGTTTTGGATGATTATGGGCAGTGTAATGCGGACAACCGCTGATCATGCAGAAAAAGTGCAGCTTCACCAGCATGGCAAACCCCTTTGAACCCCAAGTCCACAAGTCCAAGCCCAGAACCAGAAGTTGGAACGGCGATCTTGAAATCGAGTTAGTACAAGCGCT